TTTGTATCGGCCCAAACTAGCCTGTAAGCAGGTGTATGAAATGATGATGATGTGCTGGCAGGAGGTATATACTTTTTTATTTTTTTGTCTTTGAATTGAAAAAAGGTCAATCTAGCAACAGCAATTAATCTCTATTCCAGCATTCTGACTGTATCTCTCTCAGCTATTCGTATGTTCATTGCGAAGACGAAGATCTCCCCCTGATTTGCAACTGAACTAAAGCTATGATAAGAAAAAACACTGAGGAAATTTCAGTGAAATAAATGGGCTGTTGGATTAAGTATGTGAAGGCATTTAGTAACAATATAAAATAATTGCTAAATCTGTGCTGGTCACAATTATATCTGTGTACAAATACTGCTAGCAAAAAAAAAAAAAAATTAGTCAGAACAGCCCAGAGGTGGAGGATCTGATTTTATATGGCCTCAGTTTATTAATCATTACAGAAACATGCCAAAATGACCAAAAATATTTTTAAAGTAATGCTTCATTACCTGATTATAAATTATACAGGAAATATAGATTAACTTGCTGTTGTATCTAAATAAAAATCCCAAGGTTTATAAAGGATGAAAATACACTATACTGTTAATCCTCCTAAGCTAGAAAGATACTGATTGTGCAATTTTCACAGAGGCTGAAGGGGTGGCAACCCCAAATTTAATACTTTATCAACTAAATTAGCATAAAACAGGTTTTGTAGTATTAAAGCAGAAAGTCTCTAAAAGGATAGGTGTATTTAATGAAATGCCTCTAATTTTGAGAGACAATCAAGGAAACCAAGAATGGAAAGAGCTACATGATTTATTTCTCGTTCGTCTTTGCCACATGGGGTGCTGGCATAAAACTGCTCATTTCCAGTAATAAAGATAACATACTGTCTGATGCTTGTCTTGGAGGAGAAGAGCAATTAGTCATCAAACCAACCAGCTGGTTTATGCAGCGAAAAATACATTAAAAACAACAGTGCCCATACGTCTGTAGTTCAAAAAAGCTGTTCACAGGAGCCAGGAAACTACGGATCGCTAAATTTTGTTTGTATGTGGTAACCTTCTTAAAGTGATCATTAAAATGGAATAATAAATTACCTGCAAGATAATGATAAGTTATTTGTTAATGCTCTTTGTATATTAATATGTGTTTATAGGATTTATATGAACATGAATGAATTGATTAAAATTTATTTATTTCATCAGAGGTTTTTAACAATAAAATCTAAATAGTCATCGTGTGGGAGAGAAAGAATCTGTGAATCGCAAACAAGACACAAGTAATGGCAAGATACTGTCAATCTTTGTTATAAAATATGGTTAGCTGTAGGTACGTCTGTCCTCATTTAATGAGTTTATTAATGATTTATAGAAGGAAGTCTTCAAAATTCAGCAGGTGAATCAAATCTAAAAAGGCTTTTAAATGGAGGGAAAGTGCAAGTTACCCGGACATTCAGAAGATGCTAAATTAACTGTGTCAGCAAGGTCAGCAAAGAGACAACCTCAATGTATTGCCATAATTAAACAAAACAAAATGGATGTTATGGCACATAAGGAACTGTATGGAAAATAGGGTAGATGAAAGATGCCATTGCATAAGTCTATGATGGAGTCTCATTTCAGGGTCCAGAAAATTATGTTGAAGTGAAAGAGGCTTCAGAGAATGAGACTCAAAATTCTTACGAGCATGAACAACTTGAGTAAAGAAGGATTGGAGTAATTCATTGGGGGAGGTGGGGATGGGGAAGAAAAACAAAAAAGTGTAGCACTATGCAAAAATAATGAAGAGTGTAGCCCAGCAACACG